GGTTCAGACCCCTGGTGAAGAAGGGGGAATGCAGGGGGGAGGCAGGATGCGGGGGGAGACAGCGCTTCGGCCAGCGGGGGCTTGTGGGTGGTCTTCGGGAGAGGGAAGGGTGGGCAGTGACCGGCTGACAGTCAGTTACCCCTCCTTCCTTTGCTCTCCTGGAAGGGGTGAAGGCGGGGAGCGTAGGGACTCGCACAAGTGCGCAGCCCCCAGCCCAGCGGGGGGACGTCTCTGGACGGCAACCAGAGCTCATGTTCACATGCGACTGCCTTCCTTTTCGGCCCTTTCTGCTCCTGTGTCCACACCTCCTGCGCCACAGTGCCTGCTCTGTGCGACCCCCACAGCGCTTAACAAGTAACTTGCCTGATAAACATTCTGAATTACTTACATTGAGCAATGCTTGTCATTGACCAGATGTGCTTAAAATAGTTGGCTTCATAGGACTTGACCTTCACATTAGGAAAACAAAGATTGTTTTTCTTTTCTTTTATTGTGCATTGTGATTTTCTTAGCAAATTCCTATTTCAAGTTTGCAGCTGTTCAGTGTTTGTAAAATCATATTCAGCCCATCCTGTGTGTCGGGAAGGTCCATGACGGGCTTCAAAAATATCTTTTGTTATGTCCCGTTGTCCCCCGTTTGAATCCTGATTTGGGGCATCTCAGAGAGTATCCAGTCTAGAGGAGAAAGAACACCGACTGACGAGGGACCAGGAAATTGGCATCTGACCCGCTTTAAGAGTAGCGCCCAGGGAGGGAAATGAGGGGCCGGGCTGCCGGGCGTGCAGGGCAGTGGGAAGCCACTGTGTCCAGAAGTCAAGTGGAAATCATGGTCTAGGAGGAAAGGAAGTGAGAGGTCAAGCCTGCAGTTTGTGCTAAGGATCACATCTTTGGAGAGGCCGTAAACAGGAAACAGAGCCAAGCCCAGAAGCCAGGAAGAGCGGGGAGAGTCTGGGAGCGACCAGGCCAGGAGGTGACCAGTGGTCCAGGGTGAAGGTGGTACACAGTGGGTGGGGCAGGCGAGCGTTCATGTGACCCCTGGTCTGCCCAGGACTCGGGGTGGGGGCTGCGAGGACTCTGTGTTGAAGGGTTAGATGTCAGCCGTCGTGTGGCGCATTCTGGGGTGCCGTCTGATCGGGGGCCACACTGAACAGCGGACAGTAAAGCAGGGGCCTTTGGCTTTCGTGTGCTGCTTCTGAAGGTTACCGCCGTCCCTGGCACTTCTGAAAGACTAAGTTGATCATACAGTTTCTATGCTCGCGCCTTGTCTGTCCCTTTAGTCCATATGGGTTAATGCCCAGGGCTTTAAACCTGACACAGGACAGTGACTCCCACTTCCCGGACAGGTAAAGTGTCCCAGGAGTCCTAAATCTATTTCTTCTCACCCTTCCCAGCAAGTGGATGCGGGAGGGTACGGTGTGTAATTTTATGCAGTGAAAACAACTACAGTTTCCTAGTCTGTCCAAAGTCAGTGACCCAAGCGGCAGAACCCTTCTCCCTTCCAACGTGGGACCTCTTTACCCTCAGACCACTGCTACAGAGCCCTCCAGAATCCGAGACTGGGGCCTTTGCAACAGAGCTCCCAGCCACCTACCCCCAGCTGTCCGGGAGGGACGCACCAGTCAGCAGCCGCCACCCACAGCTGCGACGCCTCTGGTACAGGTTTGTGATCCCTTTTAGGGCTAGCGGACCTCCATAGTCAAAATGGAATCGTCGCTCTGTACAGTGAGCTTTAAGCAATGTTACTTGAAAAAAAAAAAATCATTGAGGAATAAAACAAAAGAAGATGTGGAGGGATAGAGAGAGAAAAAACATCTTGGTTCACGAGCCCAGGATTCAGAAAAGGCTCGTGGACATTTAAAATAATAATGATGATGAGGTATGGGGAGGGGGACGGGTTCGGAGCTGACGACCAAGAAAGAATTCTTGAAGATGTGTTTGGTGCAAAAAAGGTGATTTTAGTAAAGCACAGGAACAGGACCCGTGGGCAGGAAGAGCGGCACTGGGGTTGTGAGGCGTGACGGGTTATACACTATGGAGTCAGGGGAGGTACAGTCAGGAAGACATTTCTTAAGGGATTTCCATATGCTAAAGTAGACTCCCGGGATAGCAGAGGCCTAGCTATGGTCAGGCTAAGGTGGTTTTTGCCTCTAGCAAAGCATTAGCATTAAGACACGGGGGAGTTTCTGGACTTTAGGTTATTGGTAAGATTGCCCCTTTTTTGTAGTTGTACTAAGATGTTTGTGAACTGATGTGAACTCTTATCAGTTTAACCGTTTGTTTTCTGTCCTTTCCTTTGCTCTTGGGCACCCAGAAGTGCCTGAAGAATGTCACACATATCCCACGGGGTGTGGGGGGGTTATGTGTGCCCCGAGATAGCTCACTGACCCCAAGCCACCTAAGTGTTGGCCCGTTGGCTTGTAGGTCAAATTATGAGACTCCGACCAATCCAAAAGTTCCTTGCGTTTGTGTCAAAGAGTTCTTTTCAAACGACAGAAAATACACTTACTTTAGACTAAGTTGCTCCCAGTGATTAGCTTTCCGGGGAGGGGTCCTGGGTGCCGTCCCTTTCCTGCCCTGACTGCTGATCTCTCCTCTTTGTCTCTGTGCAGATTCCTGTCGGCCTCCAGTAACTACCCTCCTTTGCTTGGGCTCTTAAAGGTTAGGGTCTCCCCCTGCTTCTCCGTTATTTTTCATCACTTGTGTTCCTTTGTTCTTTGTGTCTAATCCGTCTGAGTTCAAGATTCTGCAGTTACCTTCTCCCCCGCCCTGGACACCCAGTGTAGGATCCACAGCGATGACTGGTGAAACTTGAGAAGGGAATATGAGTAGATTGTAGAAAGCAATCGTGACAACTCCTCGTCCCTGGGAGTAGCTGGCTAAATGAGACTTTGCAGGGGAAGAGGAGCGGGGGTCTCTACTGAGCATTTCCTACATGTGCCAGGTCCTGCACATGACCTCTCTCGACCTCACAGAGACCCCGGGAGATGGCGCTTCTCCACCCCCTTACCCACGGAAGCACACCGTGGCTGACGACGGTCAGGCAACCGCACCGTAATTGTTCTGGACACTCAGTTTGCCCTCAGAGCACAGAGTTTCCTGTTGCTTCTGCTGTGGTCCTGCCACGCTCGGTCCGCCTGGTGAAACCTGTTCCCTCCTGCTTTGATAGCCACTCCCTGTTCCCCATGTGAAATGTAGCCTCCCTTCCATACTCAAGCTTCGTCTTCCTCATGAAGCTCTTCCAGTTTGCTGAGGAGTCTTCTACCCAGACTTACTCTCATCTTTACCAAGTGCCTTGAGCACCGATTTCACACATAAACCATATACTGCCTTATAGTATCGGTTAGCTTGCTCTTTGGCCAAGCGGGTTCCTGAACCGAATCTGAAGACGCCCCAAGGCGGGGAATTGTGTCTCCTGCATCTTTGAATCTTTCCAAGATGCTAGAATCATTTTGTGTATGTTCCGGTCGTTGGTTGGTGTTCTGATTTATTTTTGTTGTTCCTTCATGGGTTAGGTCTTTGTCATTCTATATCCATCCCTCTGCTGTAAGTGTGAGGCAGGACAAGACAGATCCTCCCTTCGCGGCTTCACAAACTAGCAGGGAACGCAGGTGTCTCTTGCTGTCTGCATCATTTAGTCCCTCAGTTCAAAGGTGAGGTTGGGCAGAGAAGGATGCCAGGTTGTCTAAATCAGTTTGGATCCTGAAAGCTGGATAGCAGGAGCTCTCTCTCAGAGTTCAGATGGCTGGGGACTGCGCCTGAAATTTTAACTGAATCGTACTTGGTTCTGAGTTTGGGGAGCACGGGCATGCTTACCTACTGCGGGTGCACACTGACTGCCGGGCTTAGATCGGGTGCCAGGGGTTCAGACTGAGAAGATGTAGCCCGAGATACAAGGATCTGTTCATTCACTCAACAGGCAGTTGTTGAGAGGTCTCTGTGGGTCAGGCGATGAGCCAGAGGCTAGAGGCACGCGCCTTCCCTGTCTTCCCCAAGCAGCAAGCAGTGGGAATCAGTGTGATAAATACAAAGAGAAAACACATGCTATCAGGAAGCAGACTGTGGGCAGGTTGGGAAGTGACCAGAGAACATCCCCGGAGGATGGGGAAGTTCCTGGGGTGCCTGGGGTTCACACCAGGCACCATTGGATGCACTTGAGCCGTGTAAATGAACAAGTCTGCCAAAGGCCCTTGCCTCCCCGAAGCTTACGTTTGAGAAAATCTGCCAGTGCTGAAGGAGGCAGTGGTGTTGGGGCTATTTGTGGGGGGGGGCGGGTAACACCTGGGTGTTGTGGTGTGGAAAGGTGGATTCCATTTGGAGGGGCCACACCCACCGCTTTCTTTCTTTAATTTATTATTTATTTTTTTAATGTTTGTTTTTGAGAGAGAGAGAGAGAGGAAGGGAGGGGCAGAGAGAGAGGGAGACATAGAATCCGAAGCAGGCTCTAGGCGCTGAGCTGTCAGCACACAGCCCGTTGCGGGGCTTGAACTCGTGAACACGAGATCTTGACCTGAGCCGAGGTCGGACACCCAACCCACTGAGCCACCCAGGCGCCCCTCCACCGCCTTCCCTGAGATGTTCCTGCAACAGAAACCCTAGAACAGTCCCGTCTGATCAGACTATTTTAATGGAAGCTTCTTCTCCACGCTTGCTGAGGATTTGCCCTCCTAGACGAGGTGCTCGGTTGGTGGGGGTGGGGGTGTGTCTTAGTGCCCATCAGAAGGATGGAGGGAAGGCGGCAAGGGGGTTTGCCATTTGGAGGGTAGACACGATCGTTACCCTCTGCGCGGGGGAGGGGTCACCCACAGACCCAAGGGACCCAGGGACCCCTGGTTAAAGCTCCGAGGACCCAAATGAGCTAAATCCCTGGGCCCATCGACCGCCCCTTGGCCACTCCCTGGGGCCCCATGTGGAGCCGAGAGAGGTGACTCCTGCCTCGGTTCTGCTGGAGGCCACGTGGGGGTCTGACGCCCTGTGCTTCTCTCGTTTCAGACTGTTCTGCCATGACCACAGCGCGGTACCGGCCCACGTGGGACCTGGCCCTCGATCCGCTGGTGTCGTGCAAGCTGTGTCTCGGGGAGTACCCGGTGGAGCAGATGACCACCATCGCCCAGTGCCAGTGCATATTCTGTACTCTGGTTGGTCCTTCCGGAGAAAGCCACTATTGGAAGGAATTTCGGGAGGAGGCCTCCGCTTTCGGTTTTAGCGGCCCCCGGCAAATCTCTGACCCCACCCTTGCCAGCGACCGAGTCTGTCACGCGGTTGCTGAAGGAATCCTCCTTCAAATCAGTCGGGCACCCGGGTAGATGGCCGTCACAGGTGCTCGTGATCCAAAAGTGATCAAACAGAATTTTAGAAGCTAGTGATGATGCAATTTAGAAGACCTGATCACGGCGCGTGCTCGCCTTTCCAGAAGGGAAAAGCTTCACCTTACCTCATTTTTTAGTTTTTTTTTTT